CCTCTTTTCTCCCCTGCCCCCGCCGTATTCCCCCCTCGGCAGGCCCCCCCGCACCGTGTGTTCCCCCACTGTACACCCCCCTTCCCAGTCATGCGAGCCCTGGCGCCCCCCCACCTCGAGTCGGCCGCCGGAGGTTTTGTTTATGGTTGGGTTCGCGGCCTAGTGGGCCGCGCCAGAGCCGGGGCCTCGATTTGGGAGCGTGGCCGGGGCGGGGCTTGGGGCAGCCGTGGGGGGGGCCATGCGGCTAGAGCCTGAGAGGGGGTAGAGCGAGAAAGAGCGCGAGCGAGCGAGGCCTGGGCCCTGGCTGAGGTAGGGTCCTCTCTTTACCCCGGCCCGTGCCTGTGGAGAAGGAGACGGCCTCCTCCCTTTCCGACCCTCTGCGGGCCTCCTCTGATCCGGATCCGGCCTGGTTTGGGGGCGGCGGGGGGAGGGAGGGCGATGGGGTGGAGCTGCCCCAAACTCCCCCATGTGGCCCTCAGTTTGGTGTGCGGAGGATTAATTTGTTCCGGGTGGGAGGTAGGGAGGCGATTGGCCCCGTGGGCTCCCGAGGTGGCGCTGAGGGGGTGATCCTCCCATCCTCCACGCGTGGGCTTGCGTCCCCTCTTCGTTTCCAGCCTCTTTGTCAGCTCCTCTTATTACCCTCCCTTCTTTCTCCCCATCTCAGCTCTTGGAATATATTTTTGCTACTGTCTTTAGCTTCCTGTTATTTATGCTGTAGTTTTGAGTACCCCAAACAATTATGATGTTATTCGGGAAGCTGGACATGGAGGCCCCCATGGAGTGTATTACGCTCCAGGGACGTCACTAGAGCGCTGGGGTATTTGTTCACTCTTCTCATAATGGGACAGGAATTCCAAATTTCTTCAGACCCTTCACCCTGTGGACAGTCCCAAAATTGCTTTGCAAACTGATGTCACAAACAGGAGACTGCTTCTTTTCCACCGTTCTTGAAATGTAGCCACCTCTGGTGTAGGATGTTGTGGAAAGAAAAACACCACAGTAACAGGCGATTTTGATGTTATTGTTAACGTTTTTGCCTTTGACTTTCCCTGATTATTGAATGGAGAAATTATTTTTTTGTCTTCTCTTCCCATCCACCTTCCACCCCCTCCGTATCCTGTTTTGGGGCTATCTGATGTGAGTTGCTGGGAGGTGGTGGGGGTTAGGGGGTCAGTGATACTCAGTATTACTAGATAATTAAAACATTTTGGCTGTATATCAGTTGATTAAAAACTGCTTTGAGATCCAACACCATTGTCCTTAAAGATTAGACTATTCCAATTACTGTTTTCTTTGTGAATGGGAAGTATTGCTGGCACGTTAACTAGTGATGAAAGGCCTAAATGTCCTGTTTTGGTTTTGATCTTTAAAGACCCTCCTTGCTAAGTGTGTCCTAACTGAGAAGTACTTAGATTGAGGGTGGTGGGAAAGGGGACGGAGAGGCCTTTCAAGGAAGCATCTAGGGAAATCAGTTGCTCTGTTAGCTGTAGCAAGTCTACCCAACCCAGTCCAGCTTCAGAGTTTCTGAATTGTTTCTTAAATTAGATTGTAAGCCCCCTGAGGGCAGCAACCAAGTCATAATGCTTTTGTATTTCCTGAAGTATTGGACATATAGTAGATACTCAATAAATACTTGTTACTTATTTTTTTCAGTAAAATTTCTCTGGCTATTTTTTTAAGTAGCTGGTTTTCAAAAAATAGTCAAGGGCACTCCTGTGTTGAAACCTGTAACATTACTCTCGCACTATTTTCTTGGTCTCCAATACTTCTCACCCATTTCCCTTAAATATTTTTAGTTTATAAGAAAGAGTAACAAGATTCCTTACCTCCACTGTGGTAACTCTGGGTATGTGTCTGCTTGCTACCAAAGGCTACTAAATCTGTGCCCTCAAGTGATCTATCCCAGATCACTTACTTTTGATCTGTTGCTCAGTGTTGTTACTGCCTAGGTGGTAAAAATTTTCTTAGTCACACATTTTAAAGTATTTGTAAGAATGAAATATTAATAGCAAGAATGATCAGGAGGTTTTTTTTTCTTTCTTGGCTAATTATGTTTCTTGCAAGATGACTTTTTAATATATTTACCTCTGGTATAGTATATGCAGTCATACATAGCTAGTCATGCAGTTTATATCTGCAGTATAACTCATCCTCACAAATTGATATTACATGTGCAGTAGAATGCTGTCAATATTTGTAAGTTACAAGGGTGGGTTGGAAATGACTATATTACATACTTCATCTTACAGCCAATTTTAAAAGAAAATAATTTTTCTGTAGTCTTAACTTGATCTTTTTTCCTCTTGATTTGGATCCGAGGGAACTTGATTAAACAACATTTTCTTTTTTGTAAATTAAGTGTTAAAACTTGACTATAATGCCAACCTGGGAAGATGGACTACTGGGTAGCAAATGGTCCTGTATCAGCTTGAAATATTTACACGTCTTTGTGTGCACATGTGTGTAGGGGTAAGAGGTAATGGTTAAAAATTACCTAAGAAACTGCCTTGAAAAAAATCTCTCTTGGTAATAGAGAATGTAGAACTATTCATTCTTAATGACCATGTGAAAAAACAAAGACCTGTGCAACTTATTGACACAACTTGGTGAAGAATTTAGCCACAGGGAAGTCAGCATTTTCTGTGACATCCAAGAAACAGGTGAAATATACTTCCTAATAGTTAATCCTTCCATATTTCTTTAGAAGCCCTATTCACCTCTCAAATCCAACAATGTTGTCTGGGCAGTCTAGAATTACCCTGTATATGGTTGTATTAACAAAAATTAAATATAGAGCAGTATAAACATGTCCTCTTTGGAAGGGAATAAAACATGCAAAGTAACTTCTTTTATTTTGAGCACTCTATCAAAAGACTTATTTGTTTACTAAATGTAGTAGCTGAGATTGCATTATAAAAGAAACTATTATGAAGGCAACTTGATTTCAGTGAAATCCTTTTTGGTTAGAAGTCCTAAAAGCAAAAATTGTTCTGATTTTTGGGAAGTTCCTGTATGTTGTGTCTCTTTAAAAACTTAAGTAATTCATCTTGCCAGCATTAATGTCTCAAGTCTAAAATGATTTCCTAGAAGCCCTTTCTTCCAAATAAAACTTTGTGCTAGATGCTTTTGGTTTGAGAAAAATTTGGGATTTCCCGTGTATTAAGGTGAGTGGTGGAAGGTAATTGCAATTTTGGTTTTTTGAAAACTCGGGCTAGGAGACCAAGAGAAGCAGCTGTAAAAGCAGTGTGTTGGAGTTGTGATTCAGGGAACCGAGGTTCTGGACAAAGTCTTTGAGGCTAATACATGCCCTGTTGAAGGCTATGATTTTAAAACAAAAAAACAAACAAAAAACCCCCATAGCATGTTGAGAGATGAAACTTGAGGGAGAAAGAGGCTAAACCTGAACTTGTCCTTTTCCAAGCAATGGAGGTTACATGCAACTTAGATAAAAAACGGTTGTAAGGCAGGTGAGGCTGTTTCCTTAGGTAGATTGAATAGAGTATTTTAAATTATTTCTTTGGAGTATAGACTAATCCCTTTCCAGAAAGTCTTTTGTTTCCAGGCTTTGTTTTGATTATCTTTTCTCTCAAAGGTACTTCAGATACTTTCACCTATATAGAAGGCTTTTGATTATTAACATTGCTTTGCTTACAATCAAGACAACTAAACGTCATAAAACCTGTTTATAGGAGACTGGTAACCAAACAATGCTGTAACTTTAAAAAAAAAACCCATCACTTATACATGCTTAATTGTTACACAAAAATGGATTAACAGTCATAGTTCCTTAAAGAATGTATCAAATTAATTATGTTACAGGAAATAAGTGAATTTTCTTGATTTGTTTCTTTGAAGAGAAAATGGTGGTGAAGGTGCTGATGAAAGAGTTTAAAAACATGTTTTGCCCACACTTAACACCTAAAAAAATTTTTTTTAAATCTTTCAGTATTCTACCTTGTAAATACTGTTATTTGTATATACTGTAAATGATGACATCGGTGGGGACTAACCGAGCCCGGGGAAACTGGGAACAACCTCAAAACCAAAACCAGACACAGCACAAGCAGCGGCCGCAGGTAAAGAACCCAAGGGATATGGATCCATGGATAGCATTGCTGGTTGATACTGAATTCTGTGCAGTACAGCATCATTCTGTGCTTTGGTTTATTTACTTAGGTTTCTTCTTGTTTTCTAGTCCTTGGCTCTTTTTTACTTGAGGCCTGATAATCATTATATGCTATAATGGGAAATGCTTACTTTTTGTTGTTTAATACTGCATTATGAGGCTTAGTGCTTTATTATGGGTTCTGTGCTTTGTATCTCTAAGATTGCATTTTTCTTCTCTCATCTGGGTCATTTTAGCAATGTTTCTTATTTCTTATACCTTCCACATTTTAGCAATGTTTCTTATTTCTTATACCTTATACATCTCACTCCCTAGCCAACCTTGACACCTTTCCCCTTCCATCTTTTATCCTTTGCTCCTCATTTATCTAACTTTTATCTTCCTCTCTGTTCCCATTGAGGCCTTACCTGATTTTTCCTTTCCCATGAGGAACTGGTATCTTTACTATGTTCCTTCAAAATTAAATGAGACACCTTAGAGTATTGCTA